ACCCCGTTAAGAGTGGGTGGCCACTCACGAAAATGAACCCCCCCCCCCAGAAGGGGAAGAAGCCGTCAGTTATGAAGACCTTACTTTGGACTCACGACATGCTTTCCACTGCAACAGACTTAGGAGCAGGGTCTATTGGATGATAAGAAGGTGGAAAAACCATAATGAAGCTAGATTCTCAAAGAGGCCTTCTAGAAGGTGGGAAAGATGTAAAAGAGGAGGTGGGAAACTACCGTCTGTGAGACTAAACCGGCCTTACAAAAATAACAGCAACTCTTGTGCTCTCACTGCATGCTGGGCTCTGTGCAAAACACTGCACCCTTAACCTTCATAGCAGCCCAGGGAGGGGGCACGGCTCTTCTGCCCCTTTCACACTCGAGGGAGTGGGATAGACCCCACCACCACCACCTTCGCAGTTTACCTAGAGCTCTCCGGCAAAGATCCAGGAATGCCTGGTTAGTTTAAAACTGTGCTAACTCAGAACTAGTTAATGTGCCTTATGATTAGTTAATTAGTCGATGCTGCCCTATGATGCCAGCAGGCAGAAGGGTATCATTTGCAACGTGGGGAATACCATTATTTGTATCACCGGGGCAAACCCACCCCTCCCTGTCTCGGAGTCGTGTGGGGTCCTGGGGACTTCAACACGCCACAACCCTTGGAGTGGCTGAGCAAGTGAGGACACCCCTGCCCCCCACCCATTTGGGGTCAGGCTCCCAAGCGGTGCCGTGCACACGGCCGTGTTTCTCGGAGCCTCGAACAGGGCAGCTCTGCCCCCAGGCTCTGCCCACAGCCCCTCCTGCGTTGAGCGCCCTGGTGGACCCTGGAGGAGAGGAAAATCCAAGACAGACAGCAGGCTTTGCTCTGCCTGCTCAGGGCACCAGAGCAAACCCCCTCCAGCCTGAGACCACCCACGAGGGTCAACCTATCTGCCGGTTGACCAGACAGATCTAGATACACTGAAGCCCAGCTGGGCCCAAGGGTGAACGGCCCAACCTTGCCACCACACCTCTCTCAATGTTGGTCGAGTGAGGTTTTTAGGACTTCGCAGTTGCAAGCACAACACAGCTTTCACTTTATTACAAATACGGTCGCAAAGAGCCGGGTGCGGGACAGTAATCTCAGCCTCTCGGTTCCGAGGTTGCTGCCTGCGCTCCCACCCAACATCCTAGCCTTTCACCGTGGACAGTGACCCGCGGCCCCGGGCATGGGTATCCTGCCCCTCGCCCGCCTGCTCTAAGAAATGACAGTGAAATCAAACAGGCTGTGTCCTTGCTGCTGCCTTTCTGTCAGCAGTGCCTTTCCATGGAGGGGTTCGGTTCCGAGGGTATTTGAAGGTTTACGACTGAGTGAGTTTGCGTTTTTGTTTGCTGTGCCCGGCTTTTGAATCCAGTAGGTGTGCAGTTTCTCCAGAATTCTTCGTGCCTCGCCAGGCCCGGTTGGCGCGGGCCAAGCTCAGCCTTGCAGAGGCCTCTCGGAGAGCTGCTGCCTGTACTTTGGTAAAAATTACTGACCTGTCCTTTTTTCTCTCTTCTCCACAGTGTGGCAAAGGTGCAGAAAACTTTGACAAGTTCTTCACGCGAGGGCAGCCTGTCTTAACACCACCTGATCAGCTGGTCATTGCTAACATAGACCAGTCTGATTTCGAGGGGTTCTCGTATGTCAACCCCCAGTTTGTGCACCCCATCTTACAGAGCGCAGTATGAAGCTCACCACCGAGAACTAACGCCTCCCCAGCCCCCAGCCCTCCAGCAGTGGGAAATGATCCTTAACCCTAAAATTTTAAGGCCATGGCCTTTTCTCCCGTTCCAGATGGAGGCCTGAAAATTTTAGGGTTATTAGTCCAAATGTGAGTAACTGTTCAGGGTTTCTGTCTTACAACCAAGAACGTTATCTTAGTAGAAGGCAGTATCATGTACAGTGTTCAGTTTAAGTGTGTAGAAGTCACATCTGGCTGTAGGTTAACCCTTCCTAAAAAACAAACTCGCCCCCTTTTTTGGTACGGTTTGATATATTTTCCATGCCCTCTGTCAGTTTCCACCATTGGGATTCCCCCAACCAGAGATGTTCAGATGAAGCCGTCCCGGTCCAGTGGGCAAGAAAATATCTCCACCTGAGATGTCTTTGGACTCCAAGAATGGGGACCCCAGAATGTGAGCCAGGCGGGATTGGGGGTAGGGGAGACTTGGAAATGCCCGCTGCTTCTGTTCTCTGCCTCAATGGAAACAGTCCCGAGATGAATCAAGTCCCTACCGGTGAGTCGTTTGCAAGCTGTTACCAGACGTTGACTGTCTTAACCCAATCATGGTTCAGTGATGACCGGTTTTAAAAAACAGACACCTCAGAGGAATGTTGGTGAGTCTGTCAGCTGCCCTATTTGGATGATAAATTATCTCGATACTTGCATTTCTTTTTAAGAGGCCAAATCTAAGAACTTTGCTAAATCAGCATGTGACATCATTTCAGATCAAGGATAACCCAGTGTGTGTGTACGTTCATTTTAATCTCTGGGAGATTATTCCGTGATCCAGGGTGCCATCCGCAATCATGCCACTACTCGTGAGTGTTGTTAGCCAACCCCCACCCCAACCGATATTTTGCTGCCTACTTCCTAAGAAGCTGAAGCCTACGCCCCATCCCCTTTTGTACTTATTTATTTAATAGGCTGCGGTGTCGTTGATGAGAGTATTGCTGTAAAGTAACTGAACAGAGTGTTGACTGTAGCATAAGTCTCCATCGATCGGTATCTCTCCCATCTCCAGCCCCTGACATCCACTAAGGGACGGAAACCAATACAGTTTCGGTCCCCATTTCCAGATCATGTTGAATGGCACACCTGGAGGTGTAGAATCAGGAAAATCTGGATGCGCATCAGCTCAAAGATATTTTATTGCTCGAAGGATTTTAATATGTTTTGCAAATGCATCATGCAATGAATTTTGCATGTTTATAATAAACCTTAATTACAAGTGAATCTATATTATTGATATAATCGTATCAAGTATAAAGAGAGTATTATAATAATTTTATAAGACACAACTGTGCTATATTTGTGAAGGCTCTTGTTTCTAATCTGCTTCTATGAATAAGTTTTAGCCTAATTCCTTGCTGCCTCCTGTCCCCCCACCCCCACCCCGTGCATACCCTGCACACTGGCACTGTATCAGATATATTAATTTCCTGTCGTAGATCTAATTTTGAAAACGAATGGCTCTTTTACGTGCTTAATTTGATTCTACCTGCAAACAAAAGTTTTGTCGTCGGGGATCGTCTCTGAGAGGACACTCTCTCCCAGCTCCTTAGCAACATCTTCTGTTCTGGTTCCTATTCCACTCTTCCTCGTGGGGACAGCGGGAAGTGTCAGCCTCCCGTACGTCTAGTGTGTTCGGGCAGGTGTGATGTTGTTGCAGCCCCTGGGCTGGATTTTGTTTGGTTTTTCCTTTTCAGCTTTGTTACTGTTAGTGGCTCGGGGTGGGAGGGACAGGAAGACGCCTTCTGCCACGTGTGCTTGGACGCAGCAGAAGGACTCTGTCCGCCTTGCCGCCCCCGGCACGACTTGCCGTTCCCTCCAGCACATGACAGACTTCGTGAGACAAACCGTCCCGTCCAGCCGCCCCTGGGAACCGCCATCCGCTGGCACTAACGGCAGACTCTTTAGAAGCTGCAGGTTTTCTCCCACCTGTTGCTCGAACTGGCCTTTCCGGTCTCGGCGAAGAGCACTTCTGTGGTGAGATGCTGTGCTAACAACACAAGGTCCTCAGAGAAGCCAGCCTCCTACAACAGAAAGAACATGGAAGCAGGGATCATTTCGTACAGGGGCCTCTCCGTTTCCCCTTATCCCCCAAATGCGTCTCTCAACTAAGCACCTCCTCATTTTTACTCTCTGGCTATTTGCCTGAAATTCACGTCACAACCGCTGAAGGGTCTTTGAGATGGCAGACCCAGTCTGTCCTGGAAAGCCTGGACTGGAGGAAGAGGTGGGGTAGGCAGTGGATCCTCCTGGAAAAGAGCGACTTCCTCCGCACCACCTTTTACGGGCTGTAGGCTTCAGAATTCAACAAGGGCCCCAGCACGCCCAGAGCTGCAGCTCCCCCTGGTCAGTACACATTTTGGGGACACTTCCTCACCACGTACCCCTCGTTCGGTGCGATAGAAAAGGGACCAGTTTATAGAATGAGCCTAAGAAACAAAAAAGCCAGACGCCCTCCCTGCCCCAGGACTGAGCAGCCGCAGGACGAACCCCCAGCCAAGCCCCAGGCAGTGAGGAAAGTTTCAGAAAGGAACTCGTGGGGTTATGGACTATTTGTTCCCGAGCCCCATGCTGCCTGCTTGTTTTTAAGCCAGCAGGAGTCTCAGGCTTTCCCTCGAACAGCCAACACATTTCCGAATTCATAATTCTCCAGGAAACATGTTCTGCATCCCAGCCGGCTTGTATTCTTTCAGAATGCATGGCAGAGTCTTAAGAGGAGATATCCTGGCTGTGGGGCCCAGCACTTGGCCTGCGGGACAGCAGGCTTGAGCACAAACTTGAAGGAAAGACAGTAAAACTCAGGGCCTGGCGAAGTGTTACCCGTGCTGTACCCTGTTGGGTACGTGGCTTTGTACCAAATTTAGATAAGGGCTAAATGTTTTAAAGGTCTGAGAAGCCCAAGACCGTGATTGCCGGAAGAATAAACCATGGGGGTAACCCTTGCCAACCGTTAGACCAGCTTAGAAAGGAATTGATTTATATAAGCCTGTGGCGTGGTCCCACTTCACGGGCATCGTATGAAATAAAAGTGCAGGGAAGGGGTGCTTTGCTGGCCGCAGCTGGTGGCTGGAATGAGGGGAAGCACCTTGGATGGCAGATGACCGGGGGCCTCTTGAAAGACCAGCCCCTGAGCGCCGCCCGAATCACTGAGGACTGCGGAGGTCCGAGGCCCGGGCAGAATCTAGCACAGGCTACTTCTCCACCAGACTCCTCGGTCCGTAACTCTGAGAGGCCGTTCACATCGCCTCGCGTCCTATTGTCCCTTGGACGGTGGCTGCTTCTAAGCAGAACTTCGCTCCGAGGCTACAGACCAGGGGGCTGGCAGTCCTTCCCTTGGCGTCTTGTCTGAAGGCCCTAGATGCTTGGCTGGGACGGAAGGACGCGGAGTGTGCTCCTGGCTGCAGCCCGCAGAGGTTAATGGGAGGTTCACTGAAGGCGGGAAGCGATTCAAAAGGTTGATAGGAGACCCTAGGAACTGAAATAATCGCTCTCTGGCACATCTACTTCTCTTTTATCCCCGTGACCTAGTACCAGTGAATGCAGACCTTCTTAGGAGATGTGTTAGGCTTAGTAGGAATTTTGGCAGAAAATCAGAGAGTGTAGGCCACTCTAGAACTTCCCCTGACATGGTTGGTTAAAAGGTGGTGAAAAACCAAGGTGGGTGTGAGCCAGCAGACGGTTGTGGAGCACGTCTCTGAGCTGCAGTCCTTAGCAGAGCGTGCAACTTATTTGCTGGGATGAATACACAGAGCCCAAGAGAGACACCCGTTGACGTCCCGAGAAGGGAGAGGTTGGTGGAGGCCGAAGTCAGTAAGGCATTCAAAGAAGAGCAGGGCTTGAGTGTGTCCAGGAGGATTCTTGCAAGAAGGAGGAAGCCAGGAGAGCGTGGAAGGAGAGGGCAGTTCAGGAAGGAACCTGCTGCTATTTCCAGTGGCTTTGCACTGTTGGTTGTTGGTGCACCTGCTGGTCCCGGAGAGCAGTTTTGCTGCCCGAAACACAGTCTAGTCCTCCTCAGGAAACAGCTCCTGAGTGCCAGCCAACTCCTCACTAGTCCTTGAGGCCCCCTTCCCCTGCCTGCCTTGGAGGGGCTCACCATTCCCTGGGCAGAGCCAAACCAGCCAGCACACCCTGGAAGCCAGTAGGTCCCCACCCATTTTCTTCTGTGGCTTCCTGCCAAGAGTTAGGGCAGCCGGGGATGGATGGAGAAGTGGCAAAAAGAACTTCACACCGCAGTTCCCACCTGATGGCACTTCGCAGGACAAATTTGGGTTTTTCCTGCTGGGATCTGACTTCTCAGTACCAAAGAGGGAGGCAAAGTGAGAGTCTTATGTTTTTAAATGCCTCAGAAAGGCAACACCAACTGACTGTCACTTTCTCACTTTGGTCTGATGAAGCCAATCACCTCTTTCTTGTGTGTGCTTATCACACCATTTCCTGTCCCTTTAAACCCAGCAAGGGCGGGGCGCCTGTTCCCCCACCGAGCACACTCAACAGTCATCATCAAGAAATAGACGCTGACCTGGGGACCCAGATAGGATGGTCCTAACAGTTACGGGAGCAGCAAAGCCATGACAGTTACAATGAAGGAAACGGGCCCTCTACTGCTTAGTGACTGCACACTAATTTGACAAGTGGAGAAATCATTTTTAAAACATTTTCCTTGAGTTCCTTGGGTTGCATTTTATGAAATATACCAGACTGTAAACATTTATGTCATTTCCCATCTGGGCCGACGCAACAGATCTAGGGAATGCCATATATTTCTGCTGCAAAAGATACAGAAAATTGGGAAAGGTTACCTGAGTTATAGCAAGCAAAGGCATCTAGAAATGGTGTCAACCCCAATTCGGTTAATTCTCTGATGTCAGGGACTCTTGGAGAGTTGAAATCATGTATGACCAGGAATCCCATGCCTCTGATTTATGTGATCAGATGTCAGTTCATAACTGGTGTAGG